CTTCCTTCGGATGGGAAGTAAAGCCGTTGGTCCCCGGTTCATGAGTTGATGGGTCGATAGGTAGGGTCCAGGTGTGGGAGCTGCTTTCCTGGCACGTCGGTAGCATTGGTGCTCAGCACGGAAAACAAGATCGACGGAAAAAACAAACCAAAGGAAAAAAAAAAAAATCATTCACATTTGTCCTAAAATTCAACCATATTGAATTTAGAATTTTTTTTCATAATGGCATATTAGACTCTTTTTAACAAATCGGAGTACGAAAACATCACTTTTAATCGAAATAGTGGCATACAGACACACTAGCAGGGAAAAAGGGATTTAAAATTTCATTTTTTTTTTAAATAATTTAAAAATATTAAACAAGGAAAATTTTTATTTTTACTCAAAATTTTATTTCCTAAACACCTGTTGTTTATTTTCCCTTGAAATGCTTTATTTTTCTGTACAACTTTGTTTCATTAGCGGCACCTGTGGTGTAGTGGTAAGCGTGATTGCCTCTCACTCCAAAAGGCCTGGGTTCAATCCCAGTCAGCGCCGCCGGGATTTTCTGAGGCATAAAATCTCTGATCACCGCCTTCCTTCTGAAAGGAAGTAAAGCGGTTGGTCCCCGGTTTATGAGTTGATGGGTCGAAAGGTAGGGTCCAGGTGTTAGAGCTGTCTCCCTGGCGTCGGTAGCATTGGTACTCAGTACGGAAAACAAATCAAGGAAAAAATAAACTTTGTTTCAATCGTTTTTTGGATTTGAAGTGACGTTTCCGTGCTACGATTTATTAAAAAGTGTCAAGTACGCCAATTTGAAAAATATCAACATTCAAAATGGTCGAATTAAAGCACATGGGTGAATGGTTACGTCCTGGGAGGGAGAAGCAGATAGCACACACGGAATTTATTTTATAGCTTGTTCTTCTTGTCATGCAAATTTGTGCCATTGAAAACAAATCAAAACAGGCGTAGCAAAACAGCGTGTTTTGCGTTGAGCGTGTAGTGATTGTTTGAGATTGTTCAGTGTGCAGTAAGAAACCGTACTCTTTCGTTTGGTATTTTAATATGCCACTCGATTTTTTTGACAAAACCTTGGTTAATGGTATCTTTCATTATTAATTTGTGTATATTTTTAATGAATTCCCGGTGTCCCATTGTCGCAAGCTTTCAATACCGCCTTGTGTATTCTTGTTCAACTGTAAGAAAAGCATAGTAAAATTGCTTGGCTGCCAATGACAGCTCTTGACAGCAGCCGTCTGGCTGCATTTGACGTTTCATTTTTCTCTCTTCGCGACTCTCCCTCAGGTTACGTCGTACGAGGGTCAAAAAGTAAAGGACTATTTACATCGCAAGCTACAAGCCGCCGTCAAAGCTGTTGACAAGTGAACGAAAAGCGTTGAATTCAGCATATCAGCAACAAAGTCGTACAGGTTTTATTGCAGTCCGAATGCACGTTGAGAACCTGGGCGTAACATCGTGATAGACCGAGTATCCATCTCGAAGACAAACCGGTTACGCGTCCTGGGTATAACCCTCGACCGAACTCTGAGCTTCAAACCTCATTTTCAAATGGTGAAGAAAGCATGTGAACCTCGGTTACGAATCCTTCAGCTGATCGATGCCAAACTTCCGCGTGGCGATCTAAAATCGCCACTGCAGGTGGGCTCGGCCCTAGTGACCGCGAAATTGATGTACGGAATTGGAGTAGTTAGCCGAGGAGGACCGGTAACCCTATAGAACCTCGCCCCAGCCTTCAATAAAATGGTACGGTTTGCTTCCGGAGCCTTCGTCACTAGCCCGATACAATCTATCATGGCTGAAGCGGGCACCTTACCGTTCGAACTGATAGCAGCACAATCCATTGCGCGAATTGCAATTCGGATACTAGCGAAGAATCAGAACAATAACAGCCTCCCTCTCATTCGACGAGCATCGGATCGCCTCAATGAGCTGACAAACTCAGCGTTCCCCGCTGTCGGTCAACTTGTGCGGCAGACCAATCGTCCGTGGCACACACGAAAACCATAGATCCTGTGGGACGTCAAAAAATGCATACGAGCCAGAGAAAGTCCGCCCGGTAGAGCAATAACTACTGTTGACCCGCTTCCAACGATCTACCGTCGTCTACACCGATGGATCCAAACACGACAGCACTGTAGGTGCCGCATTCCATAACAATGGTTTAGTGGGAAAGTATAGCCTCCCGAAGGAATGTAGTGTTTTCTCTGCGGTGGCGTACGCCATTAAGATGGCTGTTTCCATCTCGAACATTTCGAACGAATTAGTAATTCGTACGAACTCTGCAAGTTGTCTCCAGGCCTTTGTAACTCTACTATCTGTATCCCGGTAAAAACGCTCAGTAGCAAGAGACCTCTCGAGCTGTGTCTCAAGGTTGGCTTCGCGATCCACATATGCAGTACTGTCACCCGACTAAAAGCTATGAAAAGTTTAAGTGACACAGTAATCAAAGGGTGTATTGTATACTAATTATTTATTAAGAAAAGCTATAGCAGGTGTGGATTGGATTTCTAATAGTAGTTCTATTGAATTTTATGGGTGTACAGTGGGTTTTTACTAGGGGGGTTTGACGTACCGGTACTATTGCTGCTGCCGTTAATTCTGCTCCGCTGAAGACTACTCTGCCGATGTGCGAGCGCTCGCCGATGATACTACGTATGACGAGCTTGACGTCAGGCGAATCAAGCCTACCAGGGTGGTGATGTTTGAGTTTACTTTCTAGTGGATCGGTCAACAGGTCGACTTGACTTGATAGCGATCTGCGGTCTCCTGGCGTCTACCCTCGTTGACAAGAATCACCACCAGAGTCCAGGCAAGGCCGGAGTGACTCGGCTGAGAGGGGTACTCTTTTGCGTTTGGAGCCGTCTTGGCCCGAGGAATGCGGCGATTTTGGCCTTGCAAGGCCAAATCGAAATGATGTCCTTTACTGTTAGGATTAATAGCCACTAAGGACCAATAATCCGACTCGTGTGCTTCCTAACCGACTTGGTCGGTTGGTTCACAAAATGGCGCTATACCGAATGGTACCACAAAAAGGTCCTGATTGAACAGATAGATTTTCCCGCGATTCACCACTCACTTTATATTACTTTAAGGACACTTGGTTTTAACGATCCGAAGCACACGAACGCCAGATACTGATTGAGGAATGGCGGTTTTCCTTCGCGCTTTTCCCATCCCATTGCTCACTGATAGAATACTCATACCCACTGTACTGTTGTACGGTTTAATACAATTTTCAAATTTAAAAACAATTAATCCAACTAACAAATTAACAATTTTATACAACGACTACTAACCCTACTAATCCAACACCAAATAACCTTAAAAGACGTAACGGTACAATTAACAACTATGCACAAATTAAAAATCTAATATGTTTTGTAACAAACGGTTACACCTTAGAAGCTTAACATCTAAGCACCCGTGGATTCAGGAAGTGGAGCAAATAGCACGAAACAAATCCGTCTGTTTCTGCTGGATACCTGGACATGCCGGCATCCTCGGAAACAACGAAGCTGATCGATTAACAAACATGGCGCGAACTCAGCGGCGCCGGTGGTGTAGTGGTAAGCGTGATTACCACTCACCCCAGCAGGCCTGGGTTCAATCCCAGTCAGCGCCGCCGGGATGTTCCGAGGAAGTAAACCCGTTGGTCCCCGGTTCATGAGCTGATGGGTCGATAGGTAAGGTCCAGGTGTGGGAGCTGCCTTCCTGGCGTCGGTAGCATTGATGCTCAACACGGAAAACAAAGCAAGGGAAAAAAATGGTGCGAACACAACCTCCCATTGATGTACCAATCCCAGGCGATGATGCGCTGAGAATGGTGATGCAAAACATTCGAAAACGATGGAACGACCAATGGTTCACGTCCAGAGACTCCAAACTGATAGAAGTCAAAGACGACACGCACATGTGGACGGAACGGGGAAGCACTTTCGACCAGCGCCGTGCTAACACGGCTAAGAATTGGTCACACGCGGCTAACCCAACCCATACGTTCTTATTGAAGAAGGAAGCCCCGCCCAGTTGTTGTGGAACGGCTTTAGATGTGCGACACGTGATTCTGCAGTGTAAAAACTACGAGAGTCAACGAAAAGAGAACGACATTGACACAACAAGCTTACGAGATGCGCTAGGAAACTCTGAGGAGCAAACCACCAATTTGCTGAATTTTCTTCGGCAAACTGGACTGTGCCGAATTTTTTTAAGGATGTAGGTAAAAGAAGTAGAAGCAGCCGAAGCCCGGTGTAGAGGCAAGAAGGTTAAGCAGATAACTGAGCAAGGAAGGAAGGATGAATGTGAAGAAGAAAAACATGTAACAGGATAAAGATCAAAGAAGGTAAACTAAGCTGAAGAAAACTGATACTATCATGTAAAGAAGGTGAAGCTAATTAAGAACACAAAGCGGATAGCGGATGGAAAGAATAAGGAGAAACAACGTGAATTGTACATAAGAAGAAAACGAAGAAGAAGAGGAAGAAGAAGCTTTTTTGGTGAAACAAATCTTTTTTGGTGAAAACGAAGCGGAAGAAGAAGAAGTAGATAGAGAAGATAAAGTAGAAAATTGCTCAATGAAGAAGGCGGCACCGAAGGAAAAATGGAGAAGGCGTGAAAACGTAGGAACGGAAAACAAAGCAATGGAAATAAAGAAGGATGAAGAAAGAAGATGAGGAAGAAATGAAGAAAATAAACAGAAGTATGTTGAGAAGAAAGAATTTAGAAGATTACCAAAAAGCAACCAAATTTCAGAAGAAGTGAAGAAGATACAAGAAGACGAAGACGATATGCAGATGATTCAGCAAAGGAGGAGATGCAGCAGACCCGTCAACAAGATGTCAAGACAAGTGAAATGAAAAAGAATTATCACAATTAATAAAGGAATATGACATGAATGCATGCATGCATGTAAAATGTCAATAATAAAAAAATAAAATAAAAACTACAAGGGACAACCCAATGGGGTTGTACGCAATGATGACGTAGGACAACGTGTTAACTGCAGCAGGAGTTTGTATTTTGTGTAGGAATAGGAATTTTAGCTGGGTAGATCTCATACCAGTAAATCTAATAATCTTAAACTGAAAAAAATCATCATTCGATCACATCCCAACCACCTTTTAAATCCGACAAGGAAGTTAATCAAAATCACCTTTTTAATTCATTTGATGGCCCTGAAAAGGGCCGGTTTTTTAGTCTGAGTCGATGATGCTAATTTATCCTCCGAAACCGTACAGAGTGCGTCCCTGTCGCTTCAGAGCGTAAACGACATCCATCGCGGTGACCGTCTTCCTCTTAGCGTGTTCGGTGTAAGTAACAGCATCACGGATAACGTTCTCCAAAAACACCTTCAACACGCCTCTAGTTTCCTCGTAAATAAGCCCAGAAATTCGCTTGACTCCACCACGACGAGCCAGACGACGGATAGCAGGTTTAGTAATACCCTGAATGTTGTCACGCAGCACTTTTCGATGACGCTTTGCTCCTCCTTTGCCGAGTCCTTTTCCTCCCTTGCCGCGTCCAGTCATTGTTGGAGATGGTTTGTTTATCGTTGATGAAGGTTGAGACGAAAGTGAACAAAAATTCCAAATTTCGGCTTTTTTATACCTACTCGAGGGTTAAATTCTCCTTGTTAGTTGTTGTATTCTTGTTCTTTCATCGTTTCTGATTGGTTGATCACAGCAAACGCATGTTATAAAACATAATGGAAGTCGTTTTTGTTTTTTATTCCACAGTTAGCTTTCAACATGAACACATCGGAAGGAAAATGGCTCGCACCAAGCAGACCGCTCGCAAGTCCACTGGAGGAAAGGCTCCTCGCAAGCAGTTGGCAACGAAGGCCGCTCGTAAAAGCGCTCCAGCCACCGGAGGAGTAAAGAAGCCTCATCGCTTCCGGCCAGGCACCGTCGCCCTGCGTGAGATCCGTCGTTATCAGAAATCGACCGAACTGCTGATCCGCAAGTTGCCTTTCCAGCGTCTGGTCCGTGAAATTGCCCAGGACTTCAAGACCGATCTGCGCTTCCAGAGCTCAGCTGTTATGGCTCTACAGGAAGCTAGCGAGGCTTATCTGGTCGGTCTGTTCGAAGATACCAACCTGTGTGCCATCCACGCCAAGCGTGTCACAATCATGCCAAAGGACATCCAGCTGGCTCGTCGTATCCCCGTCGAAAATCTTACCAAACCGGCCCTTTTCAGGGCCACTAAGTTCATATAAAAAAAGAGTTGGAATAGATTTCTTAAAGAACTACAAAAATAGTTTTCACCAAGTCATGGCTATTTTTTATCATTGATGGCGCTGTTCCATTGATAGTAAGTTAGAAGTTTGGAAAAGTGGATGGAACGCTTTGGATGCATATTATGGTGAAAATAAGTCAAAAATCATTCATTAACGTTTAGTTTTTTTTCCTAGAAATTTTTGATAAATAGTATTTTCTTACAGGCTGAATTTTTATGTATTTTTTATGCAGAATATGCTAAATGGGAGGGACTTCAAATGTTAATCCTTCCTCCCCCACAAAATGTTACAGAGTGTCATCAAAGTACATGGAATGTTGAGATATTGAGAGTGAATTTTCTCTTTCAAATTTTAATGTTTTGGCTCTCTGGGGATTGGTAGTAAAGCGGTTAAAACTGTATGGAAAAAAAAAAAGTTTTTTATTTCATTCTAGCTTATTTACAAAACTTTTCAGGAAAAAACTGAACGACAAAGTCCATTAACGATTTCTTTAGGTTGTCAACTTTTTTTTGTTTTTTTGAAAGCTTAGTGAAATTCACGAGGATTTCATGCATTACATTTGTGATATATTTTTTGAGTGTATCCCCTGTTTCCATGTTTGGTACAAGATAACACTCTGGAGAGCATTATGTGTGGTCATTGGGAGCGTGTGGTTTCGAGTGTGGAGATGAGTGCGCAAAATATTACGCAATTCCATCCTCCCTATCCGCACGCGCCCGAGGATCGGAGGCGAATGCCACTTCGACTTGTTTCGTCTACTTACTACTCTCTGGCGACTGTGCTGGGGAAGCAGCTTATGCATGTAGGTAATTGGTGGATTTGTTAGTTAATTCTACGCTTTTGGACAATGCTGAACATTTACCAGTTTTTCAATAGTTTCTTGCTGAACATCAACATTCGGAAGCATTGTTATCGATGCGTAGCCATATTTCTGATCGAAAGGTGATAAAATTATTGAAATTGGACCAGGGGCAGCTGAGTTATTAACGTTCAAAATCTTTCTTAATTTGTTACATGTTCATTTTCGGTTTTCACAAAGTGTACCCCCATATAGAAATCAAAGACGTAGTCCTACGTCAAAACAACAAACAAAGTTTTATACAAATTGCTGAAGGTCGAGCCTGATCAATTCGTCATTTGGCGTAGAACTGCTCATGTACATGAAACTGCATAGGAATATTGAATGATTTTTTCTTGACGTTGATGGCTCTTTTATAAGATGTATTCAAGATTCCATTTATTTATTTGGGTATCCCTAAGAATATCACACATTGACGCATTAGTATTGTCTTTGAAAACAAATGATTTTCATTTGTAGTAGTTCTCAATTGTAGTACACTGCACTGCAAATCATGTGTTATTTGGTAGGCATTTTCGTTCAGTGTAAGGTAGGCATACGAACGGTACATACATTATGTATCCAGAGTATTCACTCAAGCAAACTGTTGCGCTCAAGTTGTGCCGCGTCGCGTCGTCGCCTATGAGAGGGGGTGGAAGACAAGTCAGACGCACACTCTTGGCTCAGAACGCCGATCCGGAGCAGTCAAACGAAGTGATGCTACGAGCTACCGTAATTCCTCAATTAGTTAGTCTCTTTGCAAGTAGGCAATGGACATTGTTGAAGCTTGCATTAAGGAACAAAATTATATAGAAAAGCACTCACACACATTGCGCTCAAGCAGTCTAACAAAAATAAATATTGTGTTCGAAATAATGACATCCTAGGCAAAGGCATAGACTAACGATTGACATAATTTTTTTGCTTTTCTTTTTGATATACTTTTAAACCTTTGTTGTTTGATCGCTGGCAACGGCAATGATGATTACTTACTTTATTCTTTATTTTTAAAGGGCATGTGTCATGCCGTTTCGTCTTCTAAGTCTAAAATGACAGAGTCGAATAACGAGCTTTATCTTCAGCTGATTGGGATGAGCGAATTTCAATATCGCGACAGCACCATGGAGACGCGTAAAATTGTCATCATTTCACCAGACTTATATCCTACGAATGAATTGTACCCTGGGGATGTTCAGCAGTGCTGAAAAACAAAACACCGCCGGACACAATGTACCTTTAAAAAGTGCATTTTCTTTGTCCTACTGCTTTACACACTACTTTACATATTGATGATTAATTCATTTTACTTACTCATGGCTGAATGTGACCATCGTTTGTGACGCAGCCGATGCAGTGCTAGCTGGCTGGGGGATTGTCGGATTCATTTGCATACTTATGGAAAGTTGACTGTGTTTTTTTTTTTAATGCGAATGAAAACATTTCCCTACTTGTCTCTGTTGAAGGATTTCTCCTAGTGCGATGCGGGATTCATGTTTTTAAACCAATATAAGGGGGCTTATTTTTTTTTTATTTAATTTAACCGTATTAAAAAGTATGTTAATTGACCATGTAGCGTGACGGTACATTAATATTCCTGAATAAATTTACCTACATTTGACTATGGTTTTTCCCGTTTAATAAAATCAAACCCTCTTTGGGAGATTTGTGCTATATGCTAACCTTGATAGTAACACTATGGTATTGATTTGAACGTGAACAAGCTACGGGCAACTTGTACCTTTGACATGACATTGAAACGTGAAAATCGTTGTTGTTTTTTTCATTTACGATCTAGATCTTCACCAATTATGATATAAGAAATAACTTCCTGCATCGTAATGTACCGAGATTCGAAAACTTAGTCCATAAACCCACATACAAAGTTGATTATCAAGGCCAAATATGATCCAAATGCCACGTAAATATTACGATAATCTTATAAAAACGCACGGAATTTTTGGTTTGTTCAATAGATAATAAAAATGCAAAAATTTATTGGAGGAATATTTTGCTGAAATTTTCAATTCGCGAGATATTCGCGATCAATCATATAAATTATAGATTTTGCTTTTGCATCCTGGAGAAAACCATACCTTAATTCGAATTGTTTCTGGCAATTGACAAGGTCATGTGGTATTCAGTCATTGCGAGAATTTGTATGTACAACTTCAATACTGTTACGCATTTGACCACAAACGTTTGGTTTCTGGATACATTATCAAAAAGCTTTGGGGGTGATGTGGCTGGCAGCAAGGCAAGCGAATGTTCAATGAAAATTAACTCTTAAACAACAATAATTTATGGTGGTCCTGAAAAAAACCGTTTTGACGTGATGGTTGCATAATGCTGAGCTATTAGGGTGTTCAACACGGATGAGGCTGTTGAGCTGTATGCTGGTTGAAACGAAGGTGACGCGCTTGACATAGATGGCCCACAGCGGCTTACGACGAGCAACTGAATCCGATCAGTAGCGGTGTGGCTTCTTCCTCCTTCTTCGGTGAATGGACGCTCATGTGGGCTGCAATTTACTGCTTGCGGGCAGCCTTTTGTTGTGTGCTGTAGAACAATACTCAACGCCATGCGCCGAAAGCACTGCTGATGATGATGACTCCGACCGGACACCACCACACACAGTGATTGAATAAGCACCGCTCGGCGAGACCGAATGGAATTTGATTTTGAAATCTGTGTTAAGAAAAGCACTTTTTGCAGGCAATCGGTGCTAATTTTGATTGCACATTCGTGTAATTTTCAATGGTGACCTATTGAAAATCTATAAAGTGAATAAAACAGCAAAAAAAAGGTTATCTTCCATTTAATTCCACTTAATTAATTTTGGTATCCATGAGAGATACGTATTTCGACTACAATGCGCAGTCTTCATCAGTGTCATACCAAGCCTTTGGGATTTTCCTTATTAAAGAGTTGTATAGATTTTTCTCCTTTAGTTTACTTAAATCTTTGGTTTTTATTAGTTGAGTAGGCTCCGATTCAACACATTGTAGTTTCATTTTTATACCTGTGATCTTAACTTTTTTACTTATGGGATGAGTACTTAAGGGGGTTAGATTTTGATAAGTTCTTTAGAGGGAATGACGCTGATGAAGACTGCACATTGTAGTAGAAATACGTATCGGTCATGGATACCAAAATTAATTAAGTGGAATTAAATGGAAGATAACCTTTTTTTGCTGTTTTATTTAAGCATTCCGCTAACAACCCAATTTCATTACTCGATCTCTATAAAGTATTCATTTTAGCAGATTGGCAGAAAAAATTCATAGCGATTGGCTTGTTTAGAATTAAAATCCATCCACCATTGACAGAGTTATAGGTGGTCAAAACCTGACCACTTTTCGTAACGCGGTCGATTTTTGTTTTTTGAAATTGCACCCCTAATATGTTGCCGAAAGACGTAATTCTCAATTCAAAAATTAAGTTATCAGTATCAAATTGTACTTATACTTTCTATATAGAAGTGCAATATGAAATTACTGAAATTGTGGACAATGGCTAACAAAAGGTCAACATGGATGAAAGTTCAAACGGGCAAAAGCTCGAGTGGAACTTAAAAGGACAA